AGAATTATATCCTTCAGTGCCCTGTAAAAATTGGTTGCTAACTTATCGGCAATAGTTTTAGTAGTAGGTGAGCCCTTGTGCATTTGTGCGTGTTGACTATCACAAGAGACAGTTCAATTGTTTCTTTTATTAAATTATTGTCGTTATTACTTGTTATTTATTACTTAATGATATTATTCTTGTTGTTACGTTTTAAGTTTCTTGTTTTGATTTTATAATGCGTAACGCGTACGTTTATAGTGCTCGTGAATACGGCAACATGTTAATGTACCTTGAAAAAGCTCGCGGGAATGCTTCGCATGCATTGCGAATTTACCGAGAGAAATTACCGACCGCTCGACATCCAGCTGACTCTCGTCCGATAACCTCAGCATTTCAGCGAGTGTTGGAAAATCGGCCCATTGCTCTGGTAGCGGCAGGAGGTGGAAGTCAAGTGGCTGTTCACTCAGAGGATGTCGTTCGCCGGAATCCGAACCTAGGTACACGAAGTATCGCTAAATTGTTAAGGCGTCGGGATGGAACAAGACGCTTTTAGAATCTATATCGATCGATGATTGTACTCGTCCTAACATTTGATTAGCAATCGAATTATAATTATAAAATTATTTATTTTATAATTATAATACGACTCCCTTTTAATTTCAAAAATTGTCTCGCTCACACTTCTTCAACTGGTTCCCTCCGTTTCACTCAAACTAGAATCTTAAGTAGCAGTTTTGAGGAAAGCCTTGGGGTACACAAAAATCATTTTAGATGGGTAAGGAAAATTAATTAACAATTAGGTTTCTCAAAAAAAATTATTTTTTTTCACACAATTTAACAAATAATCTTGCAACTATTGTACCACTTTGGAATCCTTATTAAATGCGCCAACTTTTAAAGTTACTTGCCAAACTCGTGTAGTACATTTTTTGCAGTAGAGTCATTTAAAACTGGGGAAAGTATTGATTTTGAATACTTTGTTGGGAAAAAAATTACATTTCCTTCTGGACTGGAGTAGTTGGCTGTAAATTTTAAGCAACAGTTTTCAAAAGCATTATTCAGGATTACATAATAAAAAGAAAAGTTAAAATTTGTAGCAACAGGAGTTAAAAGTCCGCCACAGGATTTTCTCGATTTTTTTTTATAAATGCCTAATTTTTAAAATACATAGCAAAGATTTTTTATTATATTTTCCTGTTAACTATTATGACTTGACCAATCACCCGATTCCATGTTGACGTCGACTTCTGGGACACGCTATATACATCACGAACTTTTAAAAAAAATTGCCAATTGTAGTAAACCTATTGTTATAATAAAAAACTAACACACTCAAGTTTATAACCCCTTGGATCGAAACATATGTTACTTCATCATCATCATCATCATTACAGCCCTTCACAAGTCCACTGCTGAACATAGGCCTCCCCCAAGGAATGCCACAAAGCACGTTCCTGAGCCACCTGCATCCATCGACTTCCTGCATATCTTACCAGGTCGTCACTCCATCTAGTGGGGGGACGCCCAACACTTCGCCTGCCGGTACGAGGCTGCCACTCGAGAACCTTTTTTCCCCATCGGTTGTCGGTTCCTCGAGCTATATGGCCGGCCCATTGCCACTTCAGCTTACCGTTGGGCTATGTCGGTCACTCTGGTGATATACTGCGGATATCCTCATTTCTGAGTTTATCACGCAGAGAAACTCCGAGCATAGCCCTCTCCATAGCTCGCTGAGCGACCTTGAGCTTCCTCATACGGCCAGCAGTGAAGGACCACGTCTCAGTTCCGTATGTCATCACTGGCAACACGCACTGGTTGTACAGTCTCGTTTTCAAGTTTTGAGGTATACCTGACGAGAAGATGTGCCGTAATTTCCCGAACGCTGCCCAACCAAGTTGAATCCGTCGATTGACCTCTCGGTCGAAGTTGGACCTACCTAGTCGGACTATTTGTCCCAGGTAAACATACTCGTCAACAACTTCGAGCTTAGTGCTCCCAACAACTACCGGCATAGGTGTGACATGAACATTAAACATGATCTTTGTTTTGTCCATGTTCATCTTAAGACCTATCCGTTGGGAAACACTATTGAGGTTATTGAGCATAGTGCTTAGGTCCTCCAGCGATTCTGCCATAAGGACTATATCGTCGGCAAATCGAAGGTGAGTGATGTACTCGCCTTTGATGTTGATACCGTATCCTTTCCAGTCCAGAAGCTTGAAAACGTCTTCCAATGCAGCGGTGAAGAGTTTCGGGGATATGACGTCACCCTGTCTTATACCTCTCTGCAATTGGATTGGTTTCGTACTCTGGTTCTGTACTCGGATATCCATCGTAGCCCTACTGTACAAACACTTCATTACTTCGATATACCGACAGTCCACTTGGCACCGCTGAAGGGACTGCAGCACCGCCCAAATTTCGACGGAATCAAAGGCTTTCTCATAGTCCACATACGCCAGACATAGTGGCAAATTGTACTTCTCTGACTTTTGTACAATTTGCCGAAGGGAATGTATGTGGTCTATGGTGCTAAATCCTATTCGGAAACCGGCTTGTTCGGGAGGCTGGAAGTCGTCAAGACTGCGCGCGAGACGATTCGTAATGACTCTCGAAAACAGCACGTAGACGCGGCTCAGAAGGGAAATCGGTTTGTAGTTCTTCAAGAGAGCGTTGTCGCCTTTCTTGAAGAACAAGACTACCGCACTTCTGCTCCACGCCTCCGGTGTAATGCCACCATGGAGGACGGAATTAAAGAGCTTCTGAAGGACTTCAAGTACCGGTTTTCAACCCGCTTTCAGAAGCTCTGCTGTAATTCCATCCTCGCCTGGGGCCTTGCCGTTTTTAAGGTGCTGGAGAGTCATTCTAATCTCGCTCAGACTGACGTCCGGGATATCATCGGAATAATGTCGGATAAGACTCTCTCTTGGATAGTTACTCACACTCGCGTGTGGCTCCAACGAAAAAGTGTACAGCTGCCCATAGAACCTCTCAATCTCACTCAAAATCTCAGGTGCCCCGGAAACGATGCTGCCACATTCTGTCTTCAGCTTTGACAGTTGGCTCTTTCTGGCAGACAGATCTCTGACAAAGACTTTGGAGCCTTGGTTCCGCTCGATCGCTTCTTCAATACGAGCTGTATTGAAGTTGCGTAAGTCCCGCCGCATGCATTTGGAGATCTGTCTGTTAAGTTGCGTGTATGCTGTCAAATCTGTTGAAGAATGTAGCTTCATCTCCCGTCTAACAGCCATGAGATTAAGAGTGTGATCGGAGAATTTTTGTGTTCTTCTGCGGCGGGTCTTGCAGAACTTAGCTCCGACCGCATGGACAGTTACCACGAGCTTGTCATTCATATCGTCCACTGCATTGCAGTCTTCTAGGCACTGAAAACGGTTTTGTAACTCGAGCTGAAAGGTTTCCGGACTTTGGATTAGAGCACGAGGGGGACGGAGCGTTGACTTCATTAGACGAGACCTCTCCAACTTAACGTGCCTCAGTGTGCCTTCAGTGTGCCTCTAACCATTCGGTGATCGCTGCCGGTTTTCAACCTCGCGATCACTGAGACATCACTGAACAGTTGTCGTCTGGTCGTCATAATGAAGTCAATCATTTTTTGTCGAACCGTCGGGGCTCGACCAGGTCCACTTCCTGTGGGGCCGCTTCTGAAAGAAAGAGTTCATCATAAAGAATCCCTCTTTCTCCATGAAGTCGGCCAGCTGCTGGCCCCTTGGGTTCCGTTGCCCTATTCCAAATTTCCCTACTTTCAGCTTACCATTATCTCTTGTGCCTAGTTTTGCATTGAAGTCTCCTATTAACACCGTATATTGGGTTTTGGAGGAATGCATGGCTCTAGAGATATCCTCATACATTTCCTCCACCTACTGTTACTTACTTGTGTAATAAATGTGACAACGTATTTAATTTATGGAAAAGAAATAACAATTATCCTAAATTACGTTTACAGTATAATAAAATCCGTATAAACAAGTAGGTATATATTTTTTTTTTAATTAAAAGGTACTTGTATTATAATAAGAAAATAAATAACAACTTTAAGAATATTAAAAAATGTAGGTCAATCACCTGATTCCGGCTTGACGTCGATTTCTGGGACAGCCTGTATAGTTCGTAATGTACATGTTTCTTATAGGCCAACGTTTGACCATATTCGTATGTGAGTGTAATAGCAATACAGTCCAAGGTGATACGCACGTTACTTTATTCTTTACCCGTAATGTCTATTCACGTTCATTCCTTTAAGTTCAGTATGTGTAGTTCCAATTCTTAAGTTCACCGGTCACCGTGAACTTGACTTTCTAATTTTTTGCAATCTGATTGGTCGGGGGGCGTGGCTAGGTCAGTGGATGACGATGACTCACTGTTTTCTTAACGTGAGTGGACTGCAGACAGATTCAACGAGTGTATGCTCGTGTGATGCGCATGTATTGAGAGGCGAGACTGACGAAAATTACCAGATTATTATTAGAAATTTAATTATGTACGTGGAAAACATATATGCCAGTGGAATAACAAATATACAATCTTGATAATGAGCGGGGTGCGCTGGACATACGGAGCACATTAAAATTTTTATGAAAGGAAATTTCTTACTATGTGTGGCTGGCTATAACCATCCCGTTTACATCACATGGAAATATCCTAGACCAGGAACGGGAAGTAGCGTCTGTTTCTACCATCACCACCAACCCGCCTGCTAACCATGGTAATTATGGTAAGTCCTCCCTACCTACGGGAGAATGCCATAACCAGCAATAGACTTATACAGATTGATGAAAAAGTGCTATCTTTAACAATGTAATATATCTTTTCTTCTTTATGATAATGTGATCATATAAAAAGTAGTGCTTGATGTTCGAATCATTAATTATAAGCATCAAATTTTGTATGCAGTTTCTTCGGGTTTTTATAACCAGAGCATAAAGTTAAAGCCTATACGAATATAGGAATTGTTTTCTTTTTTTTTCAGCACTATATCAATGTTTTATTTTTTGTTACAGGCACTTATTCATACGCCGTTACTGAGGGATTACTTTTTGGGTGAAAAACACAAGTGCAAGGCGCAGGGCACCGGAAAATGTCTCGTTTGCGAAGTTTCGAAATTGTTCCAGGTATCGGAAAATATATTATATAGATACCTGCCAAAATCTAATTTTGATGAAATGCAAAAATAATTTTCTTCGAAGACATAGGTACGTTAACTGATGATGATGAAACTGTATAAACGTTAAGCAGAACAAAATAATAGTTAAAAATTTTATTCTTTTTAGCATGCCAACAAGACACCCAGTTACAAAAAAGTTATTTATTTTAGAATAGTATGTATAAGAGGAAGACACCAAACAAATTAAATTAAATCACCAAACAAATTAAAACAAAATTAAATCAAATTGTTAAAGAAAGTGATAGCTAACAACATTTTCTAAATAATAAATTTATTAAAAAGCTAGTAACCAAATTATCTTCCACAAATTAACATTAGATAATGTGTATAAACTATAATCTATAATTGTGGGAATTAATTGTAATTTTGTACAGAATTCAAAATTTATATGGTGAAATTGCATAACATAGGAAAAGAAACTTCGGGATTTTATATTTTATTATCATTTTGTTATATAGATTGCGATCCAAACTTTGCAGCTGTGAAGTTAGGGCCAGGCGCTTCGCAATAACCTACTTGCGCGCTTCTGCTTAAGTACAGTTGAGTTCATAGTCATTGTTTGTTAATTTTTGTCTATTATGTATAATTTGCTTTAATATTTTTAATAACTTATAACATTATATTTAAATAATATAACTCAAACAGTTGATATCAATGGGAGTAGATCTTCCGGGTCTTTAGTATATATATATATATATATATATATATATATATATATATAGGTGTTCCTCAGGGCTCAATTCTTGGTCTCTTCCTGTTCCTAGTTTATATTAAAGACTAAACTTACCTGGTATGGAATAACCATGATACAGTTTTATTTGCTGATGATACTCCGTTGATTTTCAGACAGCAATTGTTAAAATATGACGAAGTGAATAATGCTATATCAAAATTATGTATACTGGTTTAACGTCAAAATTTGCTTTTAAAATATAAACTATCAGTGTGGTTTTGAATGAGGAGGAGCTGAGTCTTATCGAAAGCACTGTTTTTTTCTCGGAATAACACTTGACGCGAAGCTTGAGTGGAGCCGCCATTAATCTAAACTAGCTCGCAAACTTAGTTCTGCAACATATTATGCTGTAAAAAAGATTAGAAGCCTTAAACGTGTTGAAACGGCTATATTAGTTTATTTTAGCTATTTCTATAGTATAATATCGTATGGAATCTTGTTGTTGGCTATAAAAGTGGAAGTATATAAGAGTGGACGAAGCCTAAGAAAAGATGGATATACTTTTTTATGCGTAAGAAAGGAGTTAGTGAAGAGATGATGGCAATAGAGACATATGGAAGAGTAGGATATGCTATGCCCACCTCAAATAACTTAGGATAAGGGCAGGAAGAAGAAGAATGTCTTATGTGAAATCTTGCTATGGGGTAATGCGACTGATATTAAAACTATCTTTGTTTTGCAGAAGAGGGCCATAAGAGCAATTTATAACTTAACTCCGAAGAAGTCTCTTAGAGAAAAATTAGAAATAAATGTATTAGCTGTGGCCTCTCAGTATATTTACGAAAACAAATATTTATTAGTTATTGTGCAATAACCGGTCAAATGTGCAAAGAAGGTTAAGAATGAGTAATATAGGCAAATGGTAAAGGAAAATAACCCAGATATTTGGTCCTTTTTATCTTTTAAATTCAAAATGCGTGGTAATGCATTATTTAAACAGATTGTCATTCATAAATATTTAACGCCTACTATTTTACTACACACACACACATTGGTAAGGGTCGATCGGTCAGCAAAAACGATTTAAAATGAATTGCACACAGAGGAAGCGCGCGTACGCGTAGTACCTTGTATTTGTGAATTGATCAGTTGCCCCCCGTAGTTTCCTATAGTTTTCTCAGTAATTTTTCACCGTCAAATGCTTTTTGTACGCCGATGATCAAGTCATATTTGCATCGTCGGCGGCCGAGTTGCAAATGATGGTTACTTTAATGAATTGGTCATTGAAAGAAAGGCGTATGAAAGTGAACGCAAGTAAGACGAAAGTGATGGTTTTTGAAAGAGAAGAAAGTAAAACTTTATGTGAAATAAGAATAGAAGGGGAGTTGATTGAGCAAGTAGATGAGTTTGTATATTTGGGATGTTTATTTAGCAGGGATGGTAGATATGATAAGGATATAGAACGACGAGTGAACGCAGGAAATAGAGTGAATGGGGCTCTACACGCTATTATGAGGAGTCAGAATGTGTCAACTAAGGCACGTATGGCAATTCATAATGCTGTGTTAGTCCCTACTTTAATGTATGGTAGGGAAAGTTGGGTCTGGCAGAAGAAGAATGAGAGTAGAATAAATGCTGTAGAAATGCGTTCCTTAAGGAGTATGCTAGGGCTGAATCTGAATGACAGAGTGAGAAATAGTGTGATAAGAGAAAAGTGTGGTTTGCAAGATGACGTTGTGACAAACATTAAGAAAGGAATGCTTCGGTGGTTTGTTCATGTAGAAAGAATGAACGAGGAAAGAGTGACGAAGCAAATTTATGTTGCAGAAGTGAACGGCAGGGTCGGGAAGGGACGCCCTAGACGAAGGTTTATCGACCAAATCGGCGATACATTAAAAATGGGCCAGATTAGGAGTACCCTTAACCGACGAGCGTGTATGCGTAGATATATGGATGTAAAAGAGGCGAGAGAGGTGTGTCAGGATCGCGCTAAATGGAAGTCCGTAGTCTCTGCCTACCCCTCTGGGTGACAGGCGTGAGTGTTTATGTATGTATGTATGTATTAAATAACTAAATTTCATATAATTGGTATGATCTTTTTTTATCTTCTTAATTTAAAAAAATTACACCCACAATGTATTACTTAAACCGGTTCAGTGCGGATGGCACGCCTGGCGTGCCATCGATTATGCGTGATATGCGAGTCGTGTCTTTTTTAAAAATTGTTATAACTCGCTCAAATTGCGTTTTTGGAAGATTCATGCAGACCAAAATATTCATTATTTTGCAAATAGTTCATACCTACAGCTTCGTTTCTGGATATTTTTAGAATTTCAAATTTTTAGGGGTTGACAACCTTTTATTAACTTGTACATGGTACTCTTTTTACTATGTGGGTTTTTTTAAATCATGCTGTGGAAAAATAGTTTAATAAGTAAGAAATAATAGCACTCATTGCGATCGCTCACAAATTCGAGTTTAAGTTTCTGGAAATCAAGTCTCATGTTAAAAAAAACAATGCGTTTGTCTTATTGTTTAATTTTGCTTACAATGGTTGAACTGCCGTCTTATTAATATCATATGCCCGAATAAACCTACGAAGTACAATGTGTTCTTGTAATATGGTATAAGGTTTATTTTTGCTTGAAACAGTTCGAACCCATTCATGCATAAAAAAAAGTTCGCTAATTATAATAGTCTTTTGTTCATCAGCCGCCGTACAGCGCCGGCGGATCTGGTTATTGCTTTTTTTTTCCTTTTTAAGACACTTGTTTTGCTATTCTTATTAATTAGACGTTTTTAGATCGACTTTACTTTTACATTTGTTTAACATAAAATAACATATAAAATTAGTAAATATCAATGAAACATAAACCTTATTTTTTCCTAATTAGGGTTCTTGATTGTTTGATATTTACAAACGTTATTATTAGGTGAAAATTGAATTTAATAAAAACCATAATTCTTCAGTGTGACTTAGCTGTACCTATTTATATAAATGTTTTCTTTATAAAACAAAAATAGTACCAAAGGTTTGTAATCTCTGCATAAAAAAAGTCACTTACTCTCAATTTCAAGGAAAACACTTAGAAAACCACGTAGTTACCCACTAAAAATAAGTATCCTTCCGTTTGTAACTGATGTTTGATGCCAACTAAACTTAATTAGGTCTAAACAAGTGAAAAAAGCATAAAAAAGAAAATTATTTTTACACATGGCTAATGGCATTATAGGCGGGTCATCAACTTCTACACGCCAGGTGTGTCACGAAATATTTGTTCGCCGCCACAGCTAAAAGTTGTCGAAAATTGGTGCAGCAACGAATCGGTTAATCAGTATCGTGTTAAAATATATACTAGTATACAAAGTGACGATGAAGTTATCACGTTAAATGAAAAGACGTATTCTATACAAAGTTCTTTAAACATACACAACTAAAAAAATATATAACAATTAACATTCTGGGCGCGGTAGCCTTTTTTTTGTTTTAATATTAAACAACATCATGTAAATGCATCAGATATCACCTGATAAATACTAGAAGTTCAAAGACCCATGGCCCGTGAAGGCCAAGAGACCTATATTGTATTATAGTGCAACGTTGCCAATTTTAAATAATCAAATAAAGTAATAAATTAAGCAAAAAATGTACTTATATGTAACAAAATAAGGCATAATTCTTATGCGCGATGCGACAAGAATTGGGACGGGGTGTTGGGAGGGTGGGATGTGGTCGATTGGCGCGTGCGACGATAAAGTAAGACAGTAAGTCACTTAGTCCGACGCCGGCGTCCTTGGGAACGGATCATTAATCGCTTGACCTAATTTTAGTTTTTCGCGTACACGTCCTTTTAATTTAAAGTTTTTTTTTGTGGATATTTTCATAAGTTTCTTGATTTGTTTGTGATAGGACACGTTAATACTATAATAATAATTGTGTTGAGGAGGTGGTGTGACTATTTGTGCGAAATTTGACGCTTTCTTTTACTGTCTTGTATTTTTTATTTGTGATAGGACTCGTTAATAATAGATAAGTGATATTTAATAACTTAGTGGTGTGTCAGCCCGTGCGCAATTGGACGCTTTTATTTTTTTAAACGTATAACTTTTTTTATTTTAAAATGCCTCGTATCAATTTTACGTCATTGGAATAGTCAAGGTTAAAGTGATTATTTGGATAAAAAATACCATGAAATTTGTGATTTGTTGATAACATCGGATTAGCATCGCCCTACGCGTGCCTAATTACCTATGTATGGGCAAGTCCTAGGACCTAGGTATTATAATATAATTACCTATATCGATGTCGCATGAGCAATGAACCGCTGGCCGCGACGTTGCTGCTTCTACAAGTCATTTCAGCAGGGCTATTCACAATCGTCTCGGAAAGCGAAATCGACTCGGATTCGATAACTTCTCGCACCGAAACCAATAAACGCTATTAACATTTAACGTTCGAATAAAGGTCACTTAGATACAGCCCATAACTATTGTATCGTCATTTAGTTACATGCATTTACGAATTTTGGAGATAAATAGGCTTTTGTAATTTTTTAGAGTAACGCCTGCACAAAAACATAATGCAATATTTTGGAGTTAGCCATTGATATCGAATATAAAAAATATATAATTTAACTATATAATAAATAACAAAAAAACTGAGATATGTCTCGTTTCTGTCGGGTCTGGGTTTTTTTCTATGGGGCGTTCTTTGACGTTTGTTTTCGATAATTGTGACAGTTTGCATCGGAAACTTTACGAGAGCTCTGAGCCTGGCGAAAACTTTTCGAATATTGATCATTAGAAGAGATAAATAAACCCTTTTAATTATAAGGTAGGTAACAAAAATTTATTACAATTATCTATAAGACGTATTTTCATATAATTACTTCAATATTTGCACTTAATCGTAAAGCTGAATTTTTGTGAAAGGTGTGTTTTTATAAGTTTTCTATCACAAATATATATATATATATATGCTGCTTTGTGAAACGAGACATATCTCAGTTTTTTTGTTATTTATTATATAGTTAAATTATATATTTTTTATATTCGATATCAATGGCTAACACCAAAATATTGCATTATGTTTTTGTTTAGGCGTTACTCTAAAAAAATACAAAAGCCTATTTATCTTCAAAATTCGTAAATGCATGTAACTAAATGACGATACAATAGTTATGGGCTGTATCTAAGTGACCTTCATCCGAACGTTAAATGTGAATAGCGTTTATTGGTTTCGGTGCGAGAAGTTATCGAATCCGAGTCGAATTCGCTTTCCGAGACGATTGTGAATAGCCCGGCAGGTCAGTTAAGTAATATTATCAAGGATGATTTATTTTATGTGATTTTTTACCCTATTTATTTTGTTTGAAAGATGCATTTTTTATTAGTTTTTATTATTGTTTATTTTATTATTTTAACAGACATATATCAACTTGTATTAACTGTTGTGCTATTTAACGTGATAACCTGGGCGCCACCCAGTATACATATTGCACAGGAACACACACAGCTATGATAGAACCACGCTCCAGCTATATTATGGTTGCAGCACGAATAGGTCGGCTCGACCGGGGTACGACCACGTTCTCACAGAATACCAGCGTAAAATAGCAGCTTAATGCTGCTGTGTTTCATATGGTGAGTGTAGAGAACCGGATACCCTTTTTACTGGAAACGAGGCATTCCATCTTAGCCTCAGGGGTAACAACGCATCTGCATTTTGATTCTTAATTGAGCATAAATGTAGATGTTTATAGGCTACTTCACTTACCATCAGGTGGACTGTGTGCTCGTTTGTCACCCTATTCTATAAAAAAAAAACGTTATGCCACTGTACTACGGAGCCGTCATCGAGTAATAACTGTCATATATAATATGGCTACAGAAGAACGTTCGCAATAAACGTGGCTATATTTTTAAATATCATTGAGATACGATAATAAATAATAAAGTGGCATCTTTGTTTTGATACGCGACACGGCTGAGCATTACTCAATCCGAGCAGGATTAAGATCTGTATTAATATACGTTCCTCAACGACTAACTCAAGTGGGTAATCTTTTGATACACTCTCATTACAATATCAGCATCCTAAGGTCGTTGCTAATTAATAAACACTTAAAAATAGTATCTCCGTTAACAAGATCAACTCCTCAAGACGCTGTATATAGGATAGTGTTCTATGACTTGAGGGCTAGATCTCGTGAACGATTACGTAACCTTGACCGAAGTTTAGAATATAATAATTCATCACATATTACGTTATAAAGTTGTTTTCTGTCTAAGAAAGCCTTAAATTGTTCAAACTGTTCTGTGACGTACTGACTTGAATGTCTACTACTCAACTCAAATGCAGATAACGTAACGCATTAAAGCGACAGCGTCAGTGTCAAAAATGAGACGCCAGCAAACAACATCATCTGCTTGCTTAAAACGTAGTGAATTTTAACTCTTTGCTTGTTTACTAATAATATCTCTGATCACGCGTTATAATTTCATCTGCCGACTTCCAAAAAGGAGACGGTACTCAATTCGACTGTATAGTTTTTTTTTATGTGTGTTACCTCATAACCTTTTACTGGGTGAACCGATTTCGATGATTCTTTTTTTATTTGAAAGCTGGTACTTCTTGTGTGGTCCCATATGAATTTCATCAAGGTCAGACCAATAGTTTTTGAGTTATTTTTAATAACTTATATTGAAGCAGGCTGTACAAAATTTTTAATTTTTAATTATTTACACAAAAAAATTAAAAGATTGAGAAGATATGCTTTTTTGATATTATGAAAAAATATATGTCTGAATAATTCCAAGTGGCTGTAGTGGAAAATAAAGAGGCTTATGGCGCGTTTCGAAAGGATTCGAGGCATCCCCTTTATAAATTTTTATTAAACGAAGTCCGTAAAATATCTAAATGGTACTGATTTTCATCGTAATAATTAATTTCACTCAAAATATGTTCAAACTTCATGATTCGCGCTACTGCAATCACGATCTCAAGTCACGGACCGTAACACTCAGATTTTGGCATCTATTGTGTAGCATGTATTGTGTATTTGAGAGTCGAGTTGTGTTTATTAAACAGTGCCTCACTCAAATAATAACGTAAAACTAAACCGTAACTTGAGCTATGTTTATTAATAAGATTATAAACTCAAGATTGTACCCAAGTGGGCTAGGGTCTAAGTGTTCGAATGATTATTTCCAGGAGTTCTATTCTGGCGCTAAAACCCCTCTCACGCTGCATCGGCTGCTGCACTTGATCTGGACACACGCGCGCCATCTAGCCGGCTATGAACAGCAGGATGCACATGAATTTTTCATCGCTACACTTGACGTACTCCACAGGTGCGCCACGTTTACGTAATAGCCGCATTTACCACAATTTGTCGTTTTCACCACGTCTGGAAGGCAGTAGTAGTGGTCTCGTGACTTTGTTGCTACTTCCCGGCGTCACGGACGATATAATCATAGTCATTCTTGCCAGGCCACTAACCACAACAATTATTTTTGATATGGTAAATAGAATAGAGCAACACGGGCCTCCGGTGGACCGGAGAGAAGTAGCCATAGCGTTTTTCCCTGATACAGAATTGTCTGTCATTTTTTACGGAAGGAAATCTGAGCACACAAAAGCAATCGTCTGCCACTACGAAACTCACACATAAAAATTAAAACAATAAACTAATAATTTTACACACACAGATACATAATAACAGTATCGCTCTGTAACAGCGACAACTCGGAGACGGACTCGGATAAGTCACTCGACCGATCTGCATATTGTACGAGGGCGAGAGGCCTGTGCTGCAAAACAAATCCAAAACTACACAACTGTTCATATTTTAATTTTTAAGTTTAAAAAGAAGCAAATAACAGTAATGTGATTAAAATTACTTATATATGAAAGGTAACCCCACTTTTTTGTCAATCTGACGTGACATCTCTTTTTACAGCAAAAAAAAACAACAATTCGGCTTTTTTATTGGACGTCGATTAAACCGCGCATCTAAACTTAGTCTAATGAGCAGTACGGCTACAACTAACTTTATTATACGCCTAAGACCACGTGGACTTATACTTTGACAGTGGCTTCTTCCTTCCGGTCCGCCGCTAGCCCGTGTTGTTATATGGGTAAATGGTAATCTTAAAAGAAGGCGTTTATGGTAAAACATTAATGAGTTTGAAGTGTTATTAAATGTTTGTTTTTCTTCATCATCAGCTCATAAAAGCCTCTAGTTGTAAGGAGGATTTGTTCCAGTCATCACGCTTGGAAAATACATCGCATAACTACGTACACAAGCTTTGATTCTGCTCCCGTAGCAGATCCAGATATTTAACATCCTTTTACTTTTAGGATTATAATTGAGTCAATTTTGCTATGCTTGCAGAATTCCATCGCTCGATTTCGTCCCGCAAGTGTCGTGAGACAACTATGGGAAACGCCTAAAAATCTTACGGTTTCCGATAGATGGCGGTACAAAAATCTTGTTTACGTCAGACGTAAAATACCCAAGCTGACGAACGGGCAGCGACGACAATGGTACAAGACGTCTGTTACTGCAGTTTGTCTGACAAGCGTGAAGCTTAAAACAAATCCTCCATACAACAGGAAAGGAGATTCACGGGCTGATAAAGTAGAACATTTTAAATATATTTAGTCTCGAAAAAACTTTTTTTTCAGGCACTGCATGAACGGCGTAGACGTCACGGAGAAGAAAGAGAACGGCCGCTGCAACTGCATCATCGATCAGATATTCACAGGCGGCCTGCAAAGTGACGTGGTTTGTACTTCGTGCTCGGGCGTATCCACCACGATAGACCCGTTCTGGGACATAAGCCTGGACGTGGCGGGTCCCGGGTCTCTCCAGGCTTGTTTGGAGCGCTTCACTCGAGCCGAGCACCTGGGCTCCGGGGCCAAGATCAAGTGCTCCAACTGTCGAGCGTATCGCGAATCCACAAAACAGCTGACCCTGGAGACGCTGCCTATCGTCGCCAGTTTCCACCTCAAGCGCTTCGAGCACTCGTCGCAAATCGACAGGAAGATCTCCGCTTTTATATCATTCCCCGCCGAGCTGGATATGACGCCGTTCATGTCCTCACATCGCCGCGCTGTGGATGTGGGGGCGGATAACAACAACGCCCCTGAAGGCATCTTCGAAGACAATCGTTACTCCCTGTTCGCTGTCGTGAATCACTTGGGTTCGCTGGACGCCGGGCATTACACAGCTTACGTGCGGCAGATGAAGGGCAGCTGGTTCAAATGCGACGACCACATGATCACCAGGGCGTCACTGCGCGAGGTTCTAGATAGCGAAGGGTATGTATGCAGTAGCAAATATAAGTTTTTGTTGCCCGTTGTTAACTTTCTTAGTGACATGCTTACTACTAATGCTTAAGATAATAACTACATGACGCGAATTATGATTTCAATTTTCCTTTTACACTTTAAACGGGCTTGGATCGTCATAATAAATATAATTAAAAAATCAACTAAATTACACAAGTAGTCTCAATATCTAATAATGGTACCTCAAAATGGAATCCGTTTCTGTTGTGGGGATGTGAATAATGAACACACCACATATTAATACGTACATAATATATAAATACTCATGCCTGTCACCCAGAGGGATAAGCAGAGACTATGGTCTTCCTGACACACTTCTCTCGCCTCCACATCTATATACGTAGGTCACTCAATATGTATTGAGATGCACAAAATTTAAAAATGGATCGCACCCGTGTTATATGTTTCTAAAAAGCATATTTATTTAAAAATAGAACTTAATTAAAAAAAAAAACAAAGTTCTATTAATTGTCCTGCAACGCTTCCCGCGCTTTTCATTTAAAACGATGGATCTTAATCTTTCAAGTCTTTGACTTATGCATGAGATAGTCCAAGGTCACCTTTGTAGAAAGCTCCAAAGAGTATGTTAATATTTAGAAAGGACCCCTCAGAACCAAAGAGTATAAAATTACTACGTTTAGTCAGAACCATAGTTAAGAGTGCTCAGAACAATACTTTTTTAAATGTTATGTATAACAATTATGCAACTAAAATTTTATTAGGGTGAGTGGGGGGAAGATCGAACGGTTTTTTGATGAGATGAGCAGTGTTGTGTTTGACGTCTTGTAAAACAGTACATATTAACTTAAGCTAAAATTATATCTATAGTGAATAAAGTACAAAGAACATATTTTTATGTCATATCGATAAATCCCTGTTATATTTATTCGAAAGCAAAAAAAATTAATTACAATGTTTTTATCGTAAGAAAAAAAAAGGAGGAAAGATAAAAGGGTGGTGGGGAAAGATCGAAGTAGTTTCTAAAATCGTTCAAATTAATGTCAGACGGTATTGACTGAACTGAAGAACTGTCTATAATATGAAAATACCTTCAAATAACACAGATAACACAACTTATTTGTTTTTTATATTTCAATCTTGACCCACCAGGGAAAGATTGAACTAGAAGTTCTCAAACTTTTCACTTTACTTGGATAAGATACAGAAAATGAAAGATATCAATCATATAAATTTTTTCATTTTTAATGCCAAGATAATTTTAAATACAATTACGTACACCTTTTACCATTTTCGTCAACAAAATATGTAGCACAAAACGTATAAAATTAAATATTTCAAAATTAAACTGCTTACCAATTAATAAGATCCTAGAAAAATGCCACAACTAAAAACATAGAAAAACTTCAAAAAAAATTATATCTAAACATAAAAATTGGTAGTAGATCCACGTCTACAGTTCACTGTAACACATAAATGAGCAGAGTCGACCGGTGCGATACTACTCTCTCACAGAAAATCAGCGTGAAGTGGTTAGCTTCTTAGTGGCTGCCATGTTTCGTCTGGTGAGTGAGAGTTCCGGATGCCCGTTCCTTTTCTTAAGGCCACCTGAATGTTGACGTTTGCTAGATAAACCGATGTGACGTTGCATTGTTCTAGGAGCTGTGATGTTGCATTTACTAACGAGTGTCTGGTGGTCTTCCCCCTTTCTTTAAGTTCCTACTCCCATTCCTACGAATCCTGTTCCTATACCTTATGAGAAGGCAACACACAAGTAACACTCCTGTTGTTTCTTGTGTCTATGGGCAGCGGTGAAATCACTTAGCCATCAGGTGACCCGCTTGCTCTTTTTGCCTCTCTTATATACAATAAAAACCTCTAATATACAAAAATTAAAATAAATACGTTTAGATAATATTAGCTGAAATTGTGCCGCTGACAATTTATATATTGGCTGTAACAAAACAAAACATTTTTTCAGGTACAGTTTGAGAACATGAGACCATTTGTATGACTTTTGAAAACGGGGCAAGATGGAAACTTTTATATGTTTATCTTACCCCGTCAAATTTTGGCGGGTAAAGACGGAATGTTACAATAAATCCTAAAATCCAAAAAGTAGCGATATTTAGACATAGCAACATAACTACCAATTAAAAATAATAAGTATGTATACAAATAAAAAACTCGTACCGACCTCGTAAATCAAGTTACACGACACGGAGTAAGATTAAAACACCCGACTTGCTCGCGTAATATTCACAGCCTAGATATTCCCTTATAACACACAACCGATCCCTCAAAACGACAAGTGCCGACTTAGGTGTGGTACGTAACAAAATGGCGGTCTTATGAATGTTGCCTGCATTGGATAAATTACACAAAATCTGTCTTTACAGATGCCTTTTTGTCTTACCCCGTTTTTCATCTTCCCCCGTTTTTCATCTTCCCCCCACTCACCCTAGAATTAGTTTCGTTACTAAATTACGCTTCTCTAAATTAAGAGAATTTACTTCAAATGACGAGGTTCCGCTTTTACCTACGCGTCGCGTTTACTTCACATACTTTAGTCTATTTTCTTGGCCGCGTGAGTGTAACAGGTGAATATAAATTTAAAAAAAATTAAGTGCGTACAAAAGAAAGTTTGTTGTTAGTTTTTTATATATAAGGTAAGTATTTTTTATTACACTGTTTTTAAAAGTTATTTGCTTATATTTTCCTTCGTAACAATTTTATACACTATAAAATTTCCATTTCAAATATTGCGTCGTTCACGTATCACTTTATATTTAATATTCAGAATTAACTGAAAATTAAATATAAAGTGTGAGTTATCACTATAAATCATGTAAAAAGCACAAATTTTCATATTCCACAAAGTCCAATATGCGAAAATTTCGTTTTATGTTATAATTTCGATATATAGTGAACATTATGGCGAAGTTGTTTTCGACAATAATTAAAAATTAAAAATGTTGTACAACCAACTTCAATATAAATTATTAATAATAACTCAAAAACTATTAGTCAGACCTTGATCAAATTTATATGGGACCACATGTGAAGCACCAGCTTTCAAATAGAAAAAGAATCATCGAAATCGGTTCACCCAGAAAGAAGTTTGAAGGTAACACAAATGAAAAAACACAGTCGAATTGAGTACCTCCTCCTGTTTAAAGTTGGTAGAAAAATGGCGTTGGTAAAAGATAGCGTAATGAACTATATGGCTATGATTTAATTTATTTTTAGAGGCCCCTACTGAATATATCGATATAATTATATTATATATATCTTTTCTTTATGAAAATTGAGTGTTTCTATGTCCTTTTTTCTTTCTTCATAGTTATTTGATTTTAACATATTATACATATTGAATTTTAACATATGGGGATTCGTCAGATTTGCTTTAGTTGTAGAAGTGACATATAATATTTGAATTTTTTTCTTTTCTGTATACTTGTTTTGTTTTCTTATTTATTACTGTTTTAACCATTGAACTTGTTTACGCAACTTTTGTTTAATAATTTGTTTGATGACTTTTTTGTGCACACAAAAATATTTTTTTTTTCAAATAATAAAAGTGCCCCTTCCCTCTCCTTACAGTTTATTTCCACTGGCCATTGGCCATGGAAATAAAGGGGAGCACAAAATTTTACTGCCACAAATATCACCCGGAACATTCAGACGGAAATTAACAGCGCACGGAGCATCCGCGTTCCACCGAGATTAAATTTAGTAAAAATGTTCGTCTGTTTTACCGCCCACATTTTTTTCTTATCACTATTACAGCAAACACCCTTAAAGCTTATAAAAACCCCCGTTGATCATAGGCCTCCACTGTATGCCTCATAGAGGGTATATTTGTCATAGTGTCATAATTTTTTTCAAGCGGTTTGGCAACCACAGTTTATTTTAATTTTAGTTATTATTAGGAAGACGTTGCTGCTCATCTCCCGATTTATGTCCCTCTGTCGCCTCTAGACATGAGTGATAAATAACATCACGGTGAAAAAGTTCCAAAATAACGTTGTTCCTTCGTGCCGCCACCGTACTATTTTCTCCGTTACTCCTGTCACTGATTTAACCAAACAAAATGAATGCCACTACACAGTAATTGATGATTTTTCAAAACATTTCAGTTATCGACAAATAGTCTTGCAATCTTCGTTACTCTAGCGCTCACTTGATCTTCATACAAATAATTCGATATTTTAATTATTGATAATTTTTATATTTTTGGATAAGAACGTAGCAATTACTCTTAAGTTATATTTACCATCATTTAAAAAAAATGTCTTTGGCCTGACCTACTATACTTTATGGCTTGACTATAGTTGTGATTAAGTTTGTCCAATAAAATGTCGGGGTCTGAGAGGTTAATCGTGAACATTTGCGCGCTATGATATATAATGATTTTAAATTTGGTTTACCCGAACAATTAAGTTCACAATGGTTACAATCAGCATTAGGGGACTCAGCTCTATCAAGCGCTACAATTTTTAGGTGGCTTGCTGAAATCAAAAGGGGTAAAATTAATCTTAAAGATAACCAAAGAACCTGGTTCTTTGGCAAACAGCAGTAACGGCAGAAAATGTATGGACTACTGCAATTTTGGTGCGAGAAGACCCACGAATCACATACACGGACATCGAAAAGATTGTAGGCATTAGTTCGGGGAGCATTCATATCTTGGAGTGAGGAAGCTTTGTTGTCGATTGATCCATCGTTTGCTCTCCGAAAGCGAAAAACAGACTCGTATGGATTGGTGCCATGAAATGCGTCTACGTTTTGAAAATGGGGCATCTAGGCGTGTTTCAGAAATCGTTACTGGTGACGAGACATGGATCTCTCAATATGATCCGGAAAATAAAAGGCAATCATCGGTATGGGTATACTCAGAAGGACAGTTAACGACAAAACTGCAAAGACCTCGCAACGTCGGCAAAAAATGTGTGGCAAGCTTTTTTACGCGGAGCGGACATTTGTCGACGTCAATGCCGGAAAATTGTAGG